TCTGAGGCCAGCATCATCCTAATCCCAAAATCAGGTAAAGACACAACAACAACAAAAGAGAAAACTTCAGGACAATATCGTTCATGAACATGGATGCTAAAATCCTCAACAAAATATTATCAAACCGCATCCAACAATACATTAAAAAGATGATGCACCACGGCGAAGTGGGATTCATCCCAAGGATGCAAGGATGGTAAGATATTTGCAAATCAATAAATGTAATTCATCACATAAACAAAAGGGAAGACAAAAATCACATGATCATATAAAGAGATGCAGAAAAAGCATTTGATAAGGGACAGCACACATTTATGATAAAAACATCCAGCAAAGTGGGAATAGAGGGGGCATTCTTCAACATAATAAAGGTCATATAGAAGAGACCTATAGGAAACATCATACTCAAGGGGCAAAAACTAAAACCTCTCCCACTAAGATCAGGAACAAGACAAGGCTGTCCACTTTCACCACTTCTATTCAACATAGTATTGGAAGTTTTAGCCACAGAAATCACAGAGAAAAAGGACATAAAAGGCATCCAAGTCAGAAAGGAGGAAACAAAACTGTCATTGTTTGCAGATGGCATGGTAGTGTACATAGAAAATCCTATAGACTCTGCCAAAAAACTGCTTGACCTAATAAATGAATTTGGCAAAACAGAGGGATACAAAGTTAATATTCAGAAATCAAAGGCATTTTTGTATACCAACAATGAAACAGCAGAAGAAGAAACCAAAAAAAAAAAAATCTCATTTCATATAGCAACAAAAAAAATAAAATACCTAGGAATAAACCTAACCAAAGAGGTAAAAGACCTGTATGCAGAAAACTACACAACACTGAAGAAAGAAATCAAGGAAGTCACAAACAAATGGGAAAAAATACCGTGTTCATGGATCAGAAGAATTAACATCATCAAAATGTCCATACTACCCAAAGCAATTTACACATTCAATGCAATATCTATTAAAGTACCAATGACATATATCATAGATTAGAACAAACACTTCAGAAATTTATATGGAGCCATAAATGACCCTGAATAGCTGCAACAATTTTGACAAAGAAGAGCCAAGTAGGAGGGATCACAATACCTGATACCAAACTGTATTACAAGGCCACTGTAATCAAAACAGCCTGGTTACTGGCATAAAAACAGAGAGACAGACCAATGGAACAGAACGGAACAGAGAGCACAGAAATAAACCCAAGTCTCTACAGTCAATTAATATTTGACAAAGGGGGGCAGCAATATAAAATGGAATAAAAATATCCTTTTCAACAAATGGTGTTGGGAAAACTGGACAGCTACGTGAAAAAAAAAGAAACTCAATCACCAACTTACACCATACGCAAAAATAAATTCAAGGTAAATAAAAGATTTAAATATAAGTCGTGACACCATTAAAGTCCTAGAGGACAACATAGGGAGGAAAATCTCAGATATTTCATGCAGCAATATTATCACTGATGTGTCCCCTAGGAAAAGGGACATAAAGGAAAGAATAAACAAATGGGATCTCATCAAAATAAAAAAGCTTCTGCACAGCTAACGCAAATAGTATTAAAATAAAAAGAGAACCAACCTTGTGGGAAAACATATTTGCCAATGATACCTCAAACAAGGGTTTAATCTCCAAAATATATAAAGAACTCACATGACTCCACTCTCAGAAGACAAGCAACCCAATTAAAAAATGGGCAAAGGACTTGAACAGACACTTCTCCAAGGAGGACATACAGAAGATTCAAAGACACATGAAACAATGTACAATATCGCTAGCTATCAGAGAGATGCAAATTAAAACCACAATGAGATACCACTTCACACCAGTCAGAATGGCCATCATAAACAAAGCAACAAACAAGTGTTGGAGAGGTTGTGGAGAAAAGGGAAACCTAGTGCACTGTTGGTGGGAGTGGAGACTAGTACAACCACTATGGAAAACAGTATGGAACTTCCTCAGAAAAGTAAAAATAGATCTGCCTTTTGACCCTGCAGTTCCACTGCTGAGACTATATCCTAAGAACACTAAAATACCAATCCAAAAGAATCTTTACACCCCGATGTTCATAGCAGCACAATTTACAATAGCAAGGTGCTGGAAGCAACCTAGATGCCCATCAGTAAATGAATGGATCAAAAAATTATGGTACATTTACACAATGGAATCTATGCAGCAGAAAGAAAGGAGTTCCTACCCTTTGCAACAGCATGGATGGAGCTGGAAAGCATGGTAAGCAAAAAACAAGCCAGGCAGTGAAAGACAAATACCATATGATCTCACCTTTAACAGGAACCTAAACAACAAAACAAAGAAACGAGCAAAATATAACCAAAGACACTGAAATAGGAGACAGACTGACAGTGACCAGAGGGGAGAGAAGAGGGAATTTCAGGGGAGAATGGGAACAGTTTACAGGAACAAATTTAAAGGACACATGGTCAAAAGCTAGGGCGAGGATGGTAATGGGAGGGAAATGGGGAGGGTTGGGTGGGTGGGCTGGAATGGGAGTAAAAGGGAGAAAACTGTACTTGAACAATAATTAAAATAAATTTTTAAAAATGGGCAAAAGACTTGATCAGACACTTCTCCAAGGAGGACATATAGAGGATCCAGAGACACATGAAAAGATGCTCGGTATTGCTAGCCATCAGAGAGATACAAATTAAAACCACAATGAGATACCACTTCACACCAGTCAGAATGGCCATCATAAACAAAGCAACAAAAAAGTGTTGAAGAGGTTGTGGAGAAAAAGGAACCCTAGTGCACTGTTGGTGGGATTTCAGACTGGTTCAACCACTATGAAAAGCAGTATGAAATTTTCTCAAAAAACTAAAAATGGATCTGCCTTTTGACCCAGCAATTCCACTGCTTGGATTATATCCTAAGAACACTAAAACACCAATCCAAAAGAACCTATGCACCCCAATGTTCATAGCAGCACAATTTACAGTAGCCAACTGTTGGAAGCAACCTAGGTGCCCATCAGCAAATGAGTGGATAAAAAAACTATGGTACATTTACACAATGGAATTCTATGCAGCAGAAAGAAGGAGCTCCTACCCTTTGCAACAGCTTGAATGGAACTGGAAAACATTATGCTAAGTGAAATAAGCCAGGCAGTAAAAGACAAATACCATATGATCTCACCTTTAACAGGAATGTAATCAACAGAACAAACAAGCAAAATATAATTAGAGACACTAAAATTGAGAACAGGCTGACAGTGACCAGAGGAGAGAGGGGAGGGAATTTCAGGAGTAAGGGGGAAGGGTTTGCAGGAACAATTATAAAGGACACATAGACAATAACAATGGGGTGGTAGAAATGGAGGGGTGGTGGGAAGGGTGGGGGCAGTGGGTTGGCATAGGGGTAAAAGGCAGAAAACTGTACCTGAACAGCAATTAAAGTCAAAAATATAAAAATAAAAAATGCAAAACTGTCGTTATCTGAGGCATTTGAAATTTCGTCTTGCTTCCTGGCAACTGTCATCAGTTTGGCTCAAATAAAATCTTATAAAATTCTTTAAAGGCTTGCCCATCTTATATCAAGATCTAAGAACACCTATTATGGGGTTGTTTTAGGGGATGGTTCCAAGACCAAGCTAAACAGCCTCTCCATGCTAGCATTTTTCTAAGGTACAGTGGTTCTCAGAATCTTCTGTTCTAACATTTGAGGATTCCACAATTCTATAATTTTAAGTTTTTAGTGTTCTGTGGATTCATCCCACTGGGAGTGGGGGAATCAGCTTTAGATAAGTGAGGAGCTATATAGAGATGAACTGGATGACCTTTCACCTGCTCATAAATATTTTCATCAGGAGCTAAAATTTACCACCAGTGCATGGTTGTGGCTCTCAATCCAAATTAAAATCAACTAACAGTCTTTTAAAAAAGATTTTATTTATTTTTAGAGAGAGGGGAAGGGAAGGAGGGAGAGGGAGAGAAACATCAGTGTGTGGTTGCCTCTTACACACCCCCACTTGGGGACCTGGCCTGCAACCCAGGTGTGTGCCCTGACTGGGAATTGAACCAGCAACCCTTTGGTTCATAGGCTGGCACTCAATCTACTGAGCCACGTCAGCCAGGGCAACTTACAGAGTCTTAAGAAACAAATTCTAGAAAGTGAATTTGGCATAGGGGTCATTCTTCTATTGGAGAGTGGGAGGGTTAGGAATTGGGGCTTCTGAATTTCTTTCCTTTTGCTGGTGACAGACACCAAAACACAGACCCAATTTCAAGGAACACCAACAGAGTAATACCAAAAAGCCCACAGGTAAGCATATTATATTCAAACTTCAAGAAACCAAAGTAAAGAGAATATTTAAAGGCCAATATCCCTGATGAACATAGATGCAAAAACCCTCAATCAAATATTTACAAACCAAATCCAGAACACGTTAAAAAGATCACATGGCATGACCAAGGGGGATTTACTCCTGTGATACAAGGTTGATACAATATCTGCAAGTCAATTAACATGATACACCATATAAGCAAAGTGAAGGATAGAAATCATATGATCATATCAATAGATGCAAACAAGCTTTTGACAAATCCAGCACCCATTTATGATTTTAAAAAAACCTCTCAGCAAAGTAGGAAAGGAGGGAACATGTCTCAACATAATAAAGGTCATATATGACAAATTCACAGCTAGTATCATACTCAGTGGGGAAAACTAAAAGCATTTCCCTTAATACCAGCAACTAGACAAGGAGGTCCACTTTCACCATTCTTATTCAACATAGTACGGGAAGTCCTAGCCATCAGACAAGAAGAAGAAATAAAATCCATACCAACTGGAAAAAAGAAGTAAAACTGATTTCCGGCCAAGATGGAGGCATAGGTGGATGCACTGTGCCTCCTCACACAACCAAGATAGGGACAACAACAATTTAGAAACAGAGTAACAACCAGAACTGATAGAAAATTGATCTGAATGGAAGTTGGACAACCAAGAAGTGAAAATAGATATGTTCATCCAGACCGGTAGGAGGGGCAGAGTCGGCCAGGTGCAGGTTGCAGCGTGGAGAGGAGACAGTGTTGGGACCAGGCGCGTAAGGCATCCAGGGCACGCAAGACCGCAGCAGGTGGACACTGAGCACGCAAGCAGCAGCTGGCAGATCCTGGCTGAAGTGTGGCAACTGGCAGATCCAGTGAAGTGGTGATTGTGAAGCAAGGCACTGAGGGCAACCCAGGATCCCAGTGCTGGGAAATAGAGCCTTGGGGCACTGATTGAAAACACCTGTGGGGGTTGAGGAACAGGGAGAAACTCCCAGCCTCACAAGAGAGGTCAGCGTGCACAAACCCACCCACACAGGACCTGGCACCAGAGGGGATCAGTTTGCTCGGGAGGAGCAGCGGAAGGGACTGAGGTGTGACAGAGAACAGAGCAAGGGCCATTGTTCCCTCTTGGACCCCGCCCCCACATAAACGTCACAGCCCAGAGACTGGGGTGCCCCACCCTGGTGTACACCTAGGGCTCCGCCCCTCATACTAAACAGACACCAACAGATGGGGGGGGGTGGGAGGAGATGGCTCAAACAGAATTGCAAGCCTCAGATCAGTACTTTTAAGCAAACAAGAGATAGCCAACCTATCAGATGCACAGTTCAAAGTACTGGTGATCAGAATGCGCACAGAGTTGTTTGATTTTGGTTGCAAATTAGATTAAAAAATGAAGGCTACAATAAGTGAAATGAAGAAAAATGCACAGGGAACTAATAGTGATGGAATGAAAGCTGGGTCTCACATCAATGGAGTGGACCAGAAGGAAGGAAGAAATATACAACCAGAAAAGAATGAAGAAATAAGAATTAAAAAAAATGAGGAGAGGCTTAGGAACCTCCAGGACATCTTGAAACGATCCAACATCCGAATTATAGGAGCGCCAGAAGGAGAAGAGGAAGAGCAACAAGTGGAAAACTTATTTGAACAAATAATAAAGGAGAACTTCCCCATTCTGGGGAGGGAAATGGACCTCCAGGAAGTCCAGGAAGTTCAGAGAGTCCCAAAGAAGTTGGACCCAAGAAGGAACACACCAAGGCACATCATAATTACATTAGCCAAGATTAAAATAAAGGAGAGAATCCTAGAAGCAGCAAGAGATAAGGAGACAGTTACCGACAAAGGAGTTCCCATCAGACTGTCAGCTGATTTCTGAAAAGAGACCTTACAGGCAAGAAGGGGCTGGAAACAAGTATCCAAGTCATGAAAGGCAAGGACCTACATCCCAGATTGCTCTATCCAGCAAAGCTTCCATTTAGAATGGAAGGACAGATAAAGTGCTTCTCAGATAGGGTGAAGTTAAAGGAGTTCATCATCACCAAGCCCTTATTTTATGAAATGTTAAAGGGACTTATCTAAGAAAAAGAAGATTAAAAACATATACAGTAAAATGACAGCAAACTCACAATTATTAACAACCACACCTAAAACAAAAACAAACAAAAAAAAACTAAGCAAACAACTAGAACACGAACAGAACCACAGAAATGGAGATCACTTGGAGGGTTGTCCACAGGGGAGTGGGAGGAGGAGAGAGTGGGAAAAGGTATGGAAAATAAGTACCATAGATGGTAAGTAAAAAATAGACAGGGGGAGGGCAAGAATAGTATGGGAAATGTAGAACTTGAAGAACTTATGATGCATGGACATGAACTAAAGAGGGAGAATGTGGGTGGGAGGGGGTGTGCAGGGGGGAGGAGAGTGAAAAGGGGAAATGGGACAACTGTAATAGCATAATCAATAAAATATATTTTTAAAGATTTTATTTATTTATTTTTAGAGACGGAAGGGAGGAAGACAGAGAGAGAGAGACAGAGAGACAGAGAGAGAGAGAGAGACATCAATGTGCGGTTTCTGGGGGTCATGGCCTGCACCCCAGGCATGTACCCTGACTGGGAATCGAACCTGCGACACTGGTTCGCAGCCCGCGCTCAATCCACTGAGCTACACCAGCCAGGGAAAATATATTTTTTTAAAAAAGGAAAAAGGACTCATCGACATGGACAACAGTGTAGTTGACTGCAGAGGGAGTGGGGGGATAAGGAACTAAACAAAAACAGGAAAAAATACAAAATTTTTTTCAAAAAATAAAAAATAAACAGGAAGGTGGTTGGGGCTGTGTGAAAAAGCTAAAGAGCTTAAGCAAAGAAAACCTCATGGACACAGACACCATCGTGGTGATTACCAGAGGAAAAAAGAAGGATGGGAAGAAGTAGAAGAGGATAAGGAGGGGATAAATGTTGATGGATGCAGACTTGACTTTGGCAGGTGAACACATAATACAACACACAGTTGATGTATCATAGAATTATACACTTGAAACCTATATATTTTATTAACCAACATCACTCCCAAGAAATTCAATTTAAAATTTTAAAAGAAAAAAATTATTAAAATTACTATGACCTTTCTTTGAAATATTTCTTGTTATTTAATATATCTGTTATTCTGCTGTAAGGAAATTTGCTAAATTATGCCTTTGTAAACAAAGTTAAAACATTTATCTCTTTCTCCATCCTTGATCCCTCCAGAATTCAGAAACTTTATGTAAATATTCTTATTTTCATAGTGCTATAGTTATTTCAATAAGTTAGGAAGAATCTGTTCTGCTTGTAACAGGGCATAATTGAAAACGGGCTAGATTACCAAGCCTTTGACAAATATTATATTTGAGAGAGACATCTGTAGTCTCACATATATACAGCCTAAATGAACTAAGATCAATGTATGGCACCTATAAAGCCTCCTTGGAAAATTCAGCCTGATCCTTTTCTTTCAAGGTTCCCAGCAGCCTTACCAGATGAGTAAGAACAGTTCTGCCCCCTGTCAGGCACAGGGACATTGTGATATTATGCTGAGCTTGAGAAGAGAAGAATTCATCTAAATCTATAGATACTCCAGGCAAAGTCTGGTGGCAAGTCCTTGGCTTACTTTCCTGGCCTCAGGAGACCTTTAAAATTGGAAGATTCCTCATGAAAATTTCCAGCAAAACAAATTCAAAAGAGCCTGTATGGATGATTACTATTCTTGCTGCTCCTAGGAAAATACTGGGCCAAGCTTATTGAAGCCAGATTTGTTGTACAAATCAATTAGCCTGAATTTGGCTATCTTTAGTAAAAATGGGGGTGATTTTAGAGAAAAGGTTATGTTTTAGTAACACACTTTGGGGATAGCAAAGCCTAGCATTATTTGTTATCATTTTGGATTTTGTTTTCTGCCTGTAACTGGAATGGACCCTGAATTTTATTTTTCTCCAATATCTGCTATGGTTTTCCAAATTAATATTTCCAAGTTTTCTTCCACCTTTTTGGTTTGGAATCATTATGAACTAAAACTCCCTTTTTCCTGACACCCTGCAAACTAAAGCTAAGTGACTTGTTATAAACTTCGGGGAAATCACCACAGTAGCCCCTGGATAGACAATCTCCATTTCTGTTGTGCAGACACTCAGAGAGACCGCCAGAGACATTCAAACTGCAGATGAGGAAAATCTATCAGATTGTCACTGCCTGTCTTCACTCTGTCTGAGGGTGATTTGAGCCAGATATCTAGAACTCTTCTTGACTGGTGGCCTTCAGAACTCAGAAACTGAGATTATAGTCTGCTCCGACCACTGATTATTGTTTTCATTTTTCTCCATAGAGATGCCTCTTGTTAAATACCTGATTTCTTCTACCATAAAGCCCAAATTTAGGGGACCACCTCACCACTTCCTGAACTAAGCTGCAACTATTTAAATGAACTGACCTGTTCTCAGAACTAAGGGGTTTCCTCAATGAGATGGAGCAATCTATCAACCCAACTTCTGGAATGAGAAATTTTTCAGGAAGTTTCACAGGCAGGACTAAAGGATTTTAGATCAGCCTTTCCGAGAATGACTTGCAGGCTCTTGGGAGAGCCTTTTGAAAGACTTACTAAGTTGTGGGCTAATTGTCCTTTTCCAATGAACATTTCAAGAAAGAAATCAGTGGCTTCTTTGTGAAGTCCTGTCTGTTGTTTCATCTCTTGGGTAATGATGAGTACGTAGAAATTCACTCAACACTAAAAGCTATGTTTTTTTAGGTAAAAATGAGTTCTGGCTGGAACTGAAGTCATATTCCATTATCCCACTGACTTGTTATGTTCTTTTGACGGGGGTGTCAGACCATTTTACTGAGTGGAAAGGCTGGGAGGACAAGATCCAATGTGCTCAGCCTTGCTGGGGTCTCCCCAGCTTCACAGCCACAAAAAAAAAGTGTCATGTTCTTTTATATAAGTCACTTCCCCACCCTGGACATTAAATTTCTTACCTGTAAAGAGAAGTGGTTTGTTTGTTTGTTTGTTTGTTTGTTTGTTTGTTTTGCTATTGTTGTTCAAGTACAGTTGTCTGCATTTACTCCCCACCTCTCCCTCACAACCCCAGCCATCCCCACTTCCCTCCCCTGATTCCACCCTTCCTTTGTTTTGTCCATGTGCCCTTATAGTTGTTCCTGAAAACCCCTCCTCTCTTTCCCCTCATTATTCCTTTCCCCCTCCCCTCTGGATACTGTCAGATTGCTCTTAATAAGAAAATGGGTTTTTATGAGACGAGAGTTTCTCCAAGTCTAATTGGCAGGCCATGAGAATCAATCAAGGATGTAAATAATTATACATCAACAATATATTCCAAATAGTCAAGTTCTTTGTCAACTTAAGTATTTCTGTCAAGAGCCATGTGTTTTGTGGAATGAAAAATGCTCTGTGAATGGTGATACTTTGTGCCTGGAGCATGCTTTGTGGACTACAAAGCACCTTACAATCACGCAAGCATATTACAAATTACTAACACTTCATAAGAAAAAAGTACCTTCTAAAATGACAACAAACTCACAAATATCAACAACTAAACCTAAAACAGAAAAACCAGTTAGAAAAGCAACAGAATCACAGAAATGGAGATCAAGGCTGGGGAAGGCAGTGGCCTGGGATGAGGGTAAAGGGTAGAAAACTGTACTTGAACAACAATTAAAAAAAAAAGAAATGGAGACCACATGGAGGGTTATCAGTGAGGAGGAAGGGGGAAAATGGGGGGAAAGGTACGGGGAATATCAAGGACAACTGGTAGG